TTTAACCGTAAACTCCCGGAAAGACGCTACAACCGTCGTGTAACCCCGTTACACTTCCAGCCGAAAGTCTTCCTCTGGCTAAAGAGCTGTGCAGCTCCGCTACATGCGAGGGTAGTTGGGAGGTTGGTCGACTGCTTAAGCAGTCGTACCACCAGTTGGCTCTCGCTTGAACGAGTGTGCAACGAACTTCTTAGCACTTAGAACACCGACGTCACGCAGAAGTCTTTCAACCTCTCGTGCGTGGTGTGTTTGTTTAAGGAAATTCAAGACTGATTTATATTTAATAGATTTTAACTAAATATAAATCTAATTACTGATTGGTTAATATGTAATGATGGGTGCCATCTCTATAGATGCGCATCCCAACGTGCGAGCTTAAATATATTTAAGCTCGCTCAATGACGTAACTGACTGACGTCATTTGATGACGCCTAGTCCCAGCTGGGCGTCATCCCCATCAATGTGAATACACCTAGTGTATATCACATACGCAAGGGTGTAACACATGGTGTGTCTCACCCGAGCGACAGGTCTTAAGTACTTACGTACCTTTAAAGACCTGCCCGTTAAGTATCGCATACTTAACGGGTACGTGTAATGTTGAGCCCGTTACAAATCCAAGGTTACTGTGATAGTGACTGGGCTTCAGATGCTGCAGACCGGAAGAGCACTGGAGGTTTCGTTTTCTTGCTTGCAGGTGGTGCAATTTCATGGTCGTCAAAGCGACAGCCGATCATAGCCTTGTCAACGGCCGAGGCTGAGTATGTGACAGCATGCGAAGCTACAATGGAAGCGATTGGAGAGCGAAACATTGTAAGTGAATCATCACCAACTGTTTCTGTTGAGGTGCACATTGGAATTTACAGTTAGAGTGCATACGTGATGGCGACAAATCCAACTTTTTCCCGTCGTACGAGACATATCGAGTTACGCTGGCACTTTGTTCGTGAACCGGTACAATTAAAGAAAGTGACTCTGGACAAAGTTGCTGGAGTCGACAATCCTGCCGATTTATTTTCGAAAGCACTCGATAAGAAGCGTGTTGCACGATTGTCCAAGTTAATGGGCGTTCAGAAGGAAGATGTGCGAGATGGATATCTCGAGAGAGGCGTGTTGGAATAAGTTGAAGAACAGCGGAAGTCGCTGGCAGTTGGCAGTGGATGGCAGGGCATATGAATGGCAGTTGGTTTGCTTCATGGTTGAAGGTATGAGAGGGGAGTCGTGCTGACGCATAGTCCCAGGTTGTACTTGCCAACTGGCATAGGCCACGAAGAGATGTATGTTTGGACAGTAGGCTTGTATTGTATAGTAAAAATGAACGCCAGTTTCGAAATTGCATCGTGTAACTCAACTGTGTGTTTTTCAAGACACGGGGGTAGACTGACACCTATTTGCACGAGTACGGTCGGCACTTGCTGATACCCTCTCGGCTTTGACAATCTACCTCCCTTGCGACCGCTACAGCGTGACAATCTATCTGGGGTTTTGTACCTGCTTTTCTTCGACGGGGGTCGAGAGAAAATTCTGGACCGGCCGGAGCAGGATCCATCATTTCCAACTTCACATTCAGACGCACGCAGCATGCGTCATGTGGGTATCGATCATGGCCTACGGTTCTGCAAATACCCCTAACAATGTCGCTGAATAGTGGGGGCTCGTCACGGGCTTCGACAAGCGAAGGTTAGCGGCTACTCCCCTCTGCATATCGTGGGGGACAGTGCTCTCGTGCTTTCCCAAATTCGGACGCACCATCCTCCACGCAAGCCACACCTGGCGCTGCTATTCCGAGAGGCAAGATCAATTCCTGACAATATCGGTGTCTCCAGCTGGGGCCATCACTATCTCTCATAAAACAAAATGGCGGATTGAATGGCGAATATCGCCATGGACACTGGAGCGTCTATCCAAGTGCACGCTTCTGCGAAGGAAGGTGTTGTCACGGAGGCTTCGGCATTCCTTGACCATGATGTCAACCACTGGCTGGAGGTCTCTCAAGCCGAACACCACGGACCCGAGGGACCCGCGATGACGCCACGGAACCTAATCATCTTGGGACAAGACTTTGCGCGACGGCGCTCGGCTGTCCGCGGACTAGTTGTACCTAGTACTTAACTTTAAGTCGGTAACTCTGTTACCTGTCGACAGGATGTAAAGGGTCGTACGCGTACTCAAATACACCTTACCTTCTCACTCACTCATTCCTATCAGAATGTATAAGTGCGAACGTTGAGGATACGACAGATGAGGGGTATTTACGTATCTTTGAAAAGACCTGCTCAAAAAAGTAGAAGGACTTTCAAGTCTTAGGGCGAGGTAAATAGCAATTGAGCGAAGTAGAAGATGACGAAGACAAGGCTTAGTACCATCATCTGGCAACACCACAGTGGGTTGAATTCAAAGATGAGTCTGGTCAACAAGGCTTCGTTTTATCGTTTTTATATCTTATAGGGACCGAAGCACTGACAGCTAAACGATCTACATTTGCTAAAACTGCACTAATTTTTCGGTTTTAGCTGTGGCTCCGTTCCGAGCCTTTTGATGTGGAGGAATGCTGTAGTTGTGACTCGACATTCCGCTATGGCACAAGCCTAGCCCGAGATAAGGAAAAGGCCAAATATTTGTTGCGATTTCTATGCTTTTTGCAGAATACGTTACTCTTACTCGTTTGAAAGCGCCATAGTAAAAGCTGATGCAGGAAGCGGTGGAGTAAGTCACTGCCTCAGCAGTACATTGTATGCATTTGACATTGAATGTGTGATGCAGTGAGGCCGTTAGCCAGTAATTTGATAATGCGTCAACGCATGCTGAATTATTTTGTCCTCCGCGTGGCGAGTTCGTTCGTATACACGAAAGCGAGGGTAGCTCTAAATTTCGCCGGGAGTACTGTTGCCATTCCGCATGAGGAAAACCACCTTCTTTGTCTTACAAGAAATGCGGTAGTCAACAATTTCCACACCAGCAAAGGAATAAAAATCGGCAATGTGCTGAAACTCCTTTTCCAGTAGTGCTGAGTCCTTGGCTGTGAGCAAATAGTTCAACTTTATTACCTTCTCCACCGTAGTCAACGATTCGTCCATAGACTACCTACAAACGCACCGCAGGTCAGCTGCCACTGTTTTTTTAATGACTACGAATGCGGTATAAGTTACAAATCTTCACGCGGGAACATCTTATCCAAACCACGAGACACCTGTCATAGCGGCTGGGACATCAATATGCATGCTACGATGTAATCCTCGCTCATTTACAGCGACTTGGTGCAAGCGCACGAATGCCTCACCACCTTTAATATATATCAGTAAGAGCAAACGCACTAGAAAAAAGGCAGAAAAAACTTACCAGGGTAGTAGGATCGAATAGGTGTGAGCATGAACAATGTCCCTACATGTAGAATTGTTATCAAGAGATAGGCCAATGGCTCCAACAAATGGTAAACGTGTCTACACGCAAAAAAATCAGGTTACTTGCTTTTATTGTGATACAGCTTTGCAAATCCCTACGTATAGGAGACATAATTATAATTTTCACATGTAAAGCAGATTATGATGATGATAAGGTAAGATCTCATCTTGAAATGACGTACCACAGCCGACACCATATTCAATATTGGGATCGCGTTAAAGATAAAGCAGAGCGCCTTGCGAGGCAAAAACGAGTACAAAGCCAGGTAGACAAACCCAGGCCACGCCCCCCAGTCGACAAGCGACGTCGTCTTAAGTGTCCACGCAATTTCTGCCACGATCGGCTTTTTAAGTGAGCCGAAAGCAACGTACGATTCCAAACAAAGTAAAAACAATGAGCTCTCGACACATTTGCTTTCTCATTTAAGTGGCTCAAGATTTTAAGCTTTACGGCGGGGCACTCCGATAAGGTCCCGTGGATCAGTCCGTTGACCAAGTCCGGATTTTCTTTGTGTTACGTTGCCACCATTTCCTGACATAATCCGGACATCGTCAAATTGTTGTTGGTCAACTCATTCTTGTTCTTAGGTGATGAGCTGTCCGACAACAACTTGACGTGTCCAGATTGTATGAGATACGGCTCGCAATTATTGTAATTGCGAATCATATGATTTTTAAGAATAATATGCAGCTTCTGCAATGTGATGTTGTGCCTCGCTGACTGGACGTTGCCACAATTTCCTGACAAAATCCAGACATTGTCAAATTGTTTTTTTTTTATGAGTTGTCCGTCAACAATTTGACTAGACCTTTACCATCTAGCTAATCTGTTGGGCTGCAGGCCACTTGTTTCGTGTACGATTCTATACTCGCTTCCTTACAGACGTCAGTTCGACTCCGAATACTAAGACGATGGTATAAAACTTGCTCGTCTGATGACTCTATGAGCGAGTAGTAACGTTTACTGATGCAGCTATAGTAAAGGTCATGTTAAGAAGAGCGGTAGCTAGGAGGCGGTAACCGCCAGAAAATCCGTATTATAACCGACACTTCCAATTCTATCTTTGGATGGTAGAGTGGATAAAGACGACTTGTACGGAAGAGACGAATGATTGTTAGAAAACATGTAAAGACAATGGCACGTCTACATTCACGGCACCTTCTTATTCTTACAGGCAACTAAACGGCAGCAGTCCTACCATACATCATCGTGTTTGCTTTCATCTCACTTAAACCATATGTGACTTGTTTTCTTTCGTATCCATGTGGTCACTCATGAGCTTTTCGAAAGGCTTTCGAGCTCTGCACAACGTTTCAATCTCAAGTCCGGCCATGCGCACTTTGAGCATGATAAGATTGCGATCTGCGATGTGAAAGCTCGACCATTTGTTAATTGTTACTGCACGACGTTTTTACGACTAGACTTGTTCTTTGTATGTAGAACGACATCTGGTTGTAAAGGCTCTTGAATAAACTATATTAAAACCAACTTCGGTGATGCACGTACTTCATCGACTTTTCTTATCGCCATCGCCTCCCACCATCTCATTATTCTTTTTTCATCCTGAACAAGAGTTAACAAGTGAAAATTCTCCAACCATGAAGATCGCTGGCTTCCTGTGTATCGCTTTGGCCGGAATTACTACGGTCGTAGACCATGCAACGGCCAAGGAAGCTGGATATGTCGCTAAGCCGTTGAAATCATGCCCGAGCTTCAGGCAGATCAATCACGACGACATACGACCGTTTCACCAGCCTACCGCCGTTACGCTCGATGAAAAGGCTGCCGTCAAATTCAAACCGAGACTCACAATTAGTCCGCATCTATGCTACATGTACCCTGCAGTAAGCCAAGAGGGTTATGTCAGCGGTGGGCTTAAGCCTACCGGACTCACTGACGGTCAATGCAAGGGAAATCGCTATGGGTCTCAAGTTTATGGGCGTGCAGCTTGGTACAAAGGAAAATATGCTATCATGTACGCATACTACTCGCCAAAAGAGGAAATACCTGATAATGATGGCAAGGAGAGTGAATATAATCACCGTCACGGCTGGCAGACTGTTACCGTGTGGATCAACAATCCTGCTATCAAAGACCCGAAGATCTTGGGTGTGTCGATGACGAAATCCTCCGTATTCGTGAGCCAAAGTCTTCTAGGACCCTTCACAGTGGATGGCACGGCTGTAAAAGTCAGGTATTATAGGGACGTGTCTCCCAATCACATGTACGCCAATTATGGACTCGAACCTACCGACGTAGTAGGTGGCTTTCAGGACCTTATCTTGTGGCATCAGCTTACGGAAAAGGCTCGGTGTGCCTTAAATCTAATGGATTGGGGTAACGGGGTGAAAATGCTCATCAACGATGACAACTTTCGGAACTCCCTGAAAGAAGCGTACCCTTTTAAGTGAGGACAAATCTGTTGGTGATACAGCTAGGAGATAACATCATACGAGAATACAGCATTTAATCTTGTACTCATGCTTCTACTACGAGCCTTGCTGAGGTTGTAAATTTGTTACCCTGAAGGCACAAATCGCTTTGTCGTATGTATCCATATATTTACTACAAAACTTTCGATGCTAGTGTCGTGATATAGCGCGAAATGGATAGTTGCTGGAGGACAGGTCCGATACCTGCATGATCAGTAAGGCCTACCAATGGTTTGAGGAAATGTGTAACAGGGCATCTAGTTACACGTAAACATTAAGTAATATACTTAATGTAAGGTCTAAAAGTATCCATGATTACTTTTGACCTGTCACTTGGGTGCGATACACAAACGTGATCCACCCTCGTGAATGTGATATCCATTCATGGATTTACATGGGATTGGATGGCGCTAGTTGAAGCTAGGCATCACGACGTCTCAGAAGGACGTCATTGGCGAACTTAAATTTACATTTAAGCTAATGCGTCAGGCAGGATACGCTTCTAAAGAGTCGCGTATCCGATCTATATACATATATAGCCAATCAGTACTTAAGCTTTATATTAAATTATAATTCATTAAATATAACTCAGTCTTGAATTTGCTAACATCAAAGCACCACGCACGAGAAGCTGAAAAGCTTCTACGTGACGTCGGTGCCTTCTTGTTAAGAAGTTCGTTTCACTCTCGCTTACGCGAGAGGCAATTGGTGGTACGACTGCTTAAGCAGTTGACCAACCACACAACCACGTGGCACTCGTATTTTTTCCTTCCCACGACCAGTCTTTCTGAGTGTGCGTGCCACGAGACGCTTCTCAACGCATACCCATCATCATCATAACACATTTGCACAATTCACCTCTCTGCCTAATCGTCTGCTAGACTCACATCTGCTCCTACCAGCTCCGCGGACACGTTGTGCATCGTCTTATCACTTATCTTGCGACTACAGAGTACGAAAGACGCTGCCGCAGTGCCGTGCTTCCAGGTACGATGCTGGTGACGGACAACATTTCGAGGACAGACATCAGCGATGGCAAACATCGGGTACGGTATACCGACTATCTGTGCTGCACTTGAGAAGTGTAACAGATGATCAGAGGCGATGCAATCATGCGTCGAGGTACGTTGTGGTCGTTATGAAAGGAGATGTGGGTATCGTCAGTGTGTACAGCCTGATCGTTATCGCGACATAGGCTGGACTGTCAGATGACATCTGTCGAAGCTAGCAAAAGCAGGAACGGAATCGCAGGTCGATTCGGTAGCAGTAGCAAGCATAGAGAACAGCGGGATGCAACAAGCCATGAGGATGATATGTGACATAACGCCCACCATCCACAGTTTGTGGCGTCGCTACCAGTGATGTCAAATGCGTGAATCGAGTGTGACATACATTTAGCTATGCCATAAGTGCTTTTTACGCAAAAGGCTGGAAGTCGTCGACAAAGTTGAAGTCTCCGACGGGACTCGAACCCGCAATCTCCCGCTTCGTAGGCGGATTCCTTATCCATTGGGCCACGGGGACGCTTCTCAACGCATACCCATCATCATCATATAAGATTTGTACAGTTGACCTCTCTGCCTAATCATCTGCTAGACTCACATCTGCTCCTACCAGCTCCGCGGACACGTTGTGCATCGTCTTATCACTTATCTTGCGACTACAGAGTACGAAAGACGCTGCCGCAGTGCCGTGCTTCCAGGTACGATGCTGGTGACGGACAACATTTCGAGGACAGACATCAGCGATGGCAAACATCGGGTACGGTATACCGACTATCTGTGCTGCACTTGAGAAGTGTAACAGATGATCAGAGGCGATGCAATCATGCGTCGAGGTACGTTGTGGTCGATATGAAAGGAGATGTGGGTATCGTCAGTGTGTACAGCCTGATCGTTATCGCGACATAGGCTGGACTGTCAGATGACATCTGTCGAAGCTAGCAAAAGCAGGAACGGAATCGCAGGTCGATTCGGTAGCAGTAGCAAGCATAGAGAACAGCGGGATGCAACAAGCCATGAGGATGATATGTGACATAACGCCCACCATCCACAGTTTGTGGCGTCGCTACCAGTGATGTCAAGTGCGTGAATCGACTGTGACATACATTTAGCTATGACATGAGTGCTTTTTACGCAAAAGGCTGGAAGTCGTCGACAAAGTTGAAGTCTCCGACGGGACTCGAACCCGCAATCACCCGCTTCGTAGGCGGATGCCTTATCCATTGGGCCACGGGGACGCTTCTCAACGCATACCCATCATCATCATATAAGATTTGTACAGTTGACCTCTCTGCCTAATCATCTGCTAGACTCACATCTGCTCCTACCAGCTCCGCGGACACGTTGTGCATTGTCTTATCACTTATCTCCGTGACTACAGAGTACGAAAGACGCTGCCGCAGTGCCGTGCTTCCAGGTACGATGCTGGTGACGGACAACATTTCGAGGACAGACATCAGCGATGGCAAACATCGGGTACGGTATACCGACTATCTGTGCTGCACTTGAGAAGTGTAACAGATGATCAGAGGCGATGCAATCATGCGTCGAGGTACGTTGTGGTCGATATGAAAGGAGATGTGGGTATCGGCAGTGTGTACAGCCTGATCGTTATCGCGACATAGGCTGGACTGTCAGATGACATCTGTCGAAGCTAGCAAAAGCAGGAACGGAATCGCAGGTCGATTCGGTAGCAGTAGCAAGCATAGAGAACAGCGGGATGCAACAAGCCATGAGGATGATATGTGACATAACGCCCACCATCCACAGTTTGTGGCGTCGCTACCAGTGATGTCAAGTGCGTGAATCGAGTGTGACATACATTTAGCTATGACATGAGTGCTTTTTACGCAAAAGGCTGGAAGTCGTCGACAAAGTTGAAGTCTCCGACGGGACTCGAACCCGCAATCTCCCGCTTCGTAGGCGGATGCCTTATCCATTGGGCCACGGGGACGCTTCTCAACGCATACCCATCATCATCATATAAGATTTGTACAGTTGACCTCTCTGCCTAATCATCTGCTAGACTCACATCTGCTCCTACCAGCTCCGCGGACACGTTGTGCATCGTCTTATCACTTATCTCCGCGACTACAGAGTACGAAAGACGCTGCCGCAGTGCCGTGCTTCCAGGTACGATGCTGGTGACGGACAACATTTCGAGGACAGACATCAGCGATGGCAAACATCGGGTACGGTATACCGACTATCTGTGCTGCACTTGAGAAGTGTAACAGATGATCAGAGGCGATGCAATCATGCGTCGAGGTACGTTGTGGTCGATCTGAAAGGAGATGTGGATATCGGCAGTGTATATAGCCTGATCGTTATCGCGACATAGACTGGACTGTCAGACGACATCTGTCGAAGCTAGCAAAAGCAGGAACGGAATCGCAGGTCGATTCGGTAGCAGTAGCAAGCATAGAGAACAGCGGGATGCAACAAGCCATGAGGATGATATGTGACATAACGCCCACCATCCACAGTTTGTGGCGTCGCTACCAGTGATGTCAAGTGCGTGAATCGACTGTGACATACATTTAGCTATGACATGAGTGCTTTTTACGCAAAAGGCTGGAAGTCGTCGACAAAGTTGAAGTCTCCGACGGGACTCGAACCCGCAATCACCCGCTTCGTAGGCGGATGCCTTATCCATTGGGCCACGGGGACGCTTCTCAACGCATACCCATCATCATCATATAAGATTTGTACAGTTGACCTCTCTGCCTAATCATCTGCTAGACTCACATCTGCTCCTACCAGCTCCGCGGACACGTTGTGCATCGTCTTATCACTTATCTCCGTGACTACAGAGTACGAAATACGCTGCCGCAGTGCCGTGCTTCCAGGTACGATGCTGGTGACGGACAACATTTCGAGGACAGACATCAGCGATGGCAAACATCGGGTACGGTATACCGACTATCTGTGCTGCACTTGAGAAGTGTAACAGATGATCAGAGGCGATGCAATCATGCGTCGAGGTACGTTGTGGTCGATCTGAAAGGAGATGTGGGTATCGGCAGTGTGTACAGCCTGATCGTTATCGCGACATAGACTGGACTGTCAGACGACATCTGTCGAAGCTAGCAAAAGCGGGAACGGAATCGCAGGTCGATTCGGTAGCAGTAGCAAGCATAGAGAACAGCGGGATGCAACAAGCCATGAGGATGATATGTGACATAACGCCCACCATCCACAGTTTGTGGCGTCGCTACCTGTGATGTCAAGTGCGTGAATCGAGTGTGACATACATTTAGCTATGACATGAGTGCTTTTCACGCAAAAGGCTGGAAGTCGTCGACAAAGTTGAAGTCTCCGACGGGACTCGAACCCGCAATCTCCCGCTTCGTAGGCGGATGCCTTATCCATTGGGCCACGGGGACGCTTCTCAACGCATACCCATCATCATCATATAAGATTTGTACAGTTGACCTCTCTGCCTAATCATCTGCTAGACTCACATCTGCTCCTACCAGCTCCGCGGACACGTTGTGCATCGTCTTATCACTTATCTTGCGACTACAGAGTACGAAATACGCTGCCGCAGTGCCGTACTTCCAGGTACGATGCTGGTGACGGACAACATTTCGAGGACAGACATCAGCGATGGCAAACATCGGGTACGGTATACCGACTATCTGTGCTGCACTTGAGAAGTGTAACAGATGATCAGAGGCGATGCAATCATGCGTCGAGGTACGTTGTGGTCGATCTGAAAGGAGATGTGGATATCGGCAGTGTATATAGCCTGATCGTTATTGCGACATAGACTGGACTGTCAGACGACATCTGTCGAAGCTAGCAAAAGCAGGAACGGAATCGCAGGTCGATTCGGTAGCAGTAGCAAGCATAGAGAACAGCGGGATGCAACAAGCCATGAGGATGATATGTGACATAACGCCCACCATCCACAGTTTGTGGCGTCGCTACCAGTGATGTCAAGTGCGTGAATCGAGTGTGACATACATTTAGCTA